CACAGTCAGAAATGGACAACACAGTCGAAAGAGGTCAACACAGATGAAGATGGTCAGCACAATCAAAAGGGAAGAGAAGAACTATTCAAAGCTACTGACAATGTGGTCGCTGTTGCCCATTTTTGGTCTAAAATTATTTAGCTTGTGCTCCCTTTATTTTATCAGTTTTATATTTATTAATTAAAATAAATATAATATATAATATAGCATGAAATAATATATATAAATAAATATAAATATATTATTTCATGCTTTTGACATGAAATAAAAATTAGAAATTGCCAATGTATTAAAATTAATAAGATACAAATGTGTAATGAAGCAATTAGGTCAGATAAGTCTTACATAAGTGGATACAATTTTTTGAAACTTCTAGGGATTACCTGAAGGATACTTCCAAAATGCATCCAGGGAAAAACGATCTCTTCACTGTGAGAGGCTATGTTAGCTGAAGTATACCCTTGTACAAATGTAACACTCACATTTTCAATAACCAATCTGACAAACAAATCATAATAGGATATAATTATAAATTTGAAAACACAATAAGACATGATGAGACAAGAACACCCACAGGCAGCATGCCACAATAGTACAGTGAACATTCAGAAGTGATCAGACACCAAAGCACTAGATGATGAAGCATTACTCTCAAATGTCTGTCCAGAATGCGCTTTAAAATGAAAGTGGGCGTATAATGTTTATTATTGTTGTGTTTCATTGCTGTCGTGCCAACATTGTAAGATGTTCACAAATGGTTTCTCTGTGATAGAATGAGAACTGTTTATTGGTGTCAGTTTATGTTGTGCCCCACTACTATCCTCAAGGCAAATGTAGGCTGAAGAAGATGTTTCTGGGTTGTTATAGGTTTTTCAGTCTATATGGCCATGTTCTAGAAGCATTCTCTCCTGACGTTTCCCCTGCATCTATGGCAGGCATCCTCAGAGGTTGTGACGTCTGATATATAGGAAAATTGGATTTATATATCTGTGGAAGGTCCAGGGTGGGAGAAATAACTCCTGTCTGTTGTAGCTTGGTGTGAATGTTTCAATTGGTCACCTTGATTAACATTTGATGGCCTTACAGTTTTTAGGTGTGGCTTGTTACTTCATGGGGGAATCCTTTGTTGAGGCTGTCCCTGATTGTTTCTTGTCTGAAGATGTTTCACTGGCCAAGTGAAGAAGTAACTATTTTGGCTGCTAGGTCCAAACTGTCTGTTCATTTTTACTATTGAGGATCAGTAGAGATATTAATAATGTTGTATATTTTGTTATTTTTTTCCAGGCCAACCTCTGTTTTGTGGATATCGATAACCACTTTATCGAGTTGCCAGAGGAACTTCCTCAGTTTCCTAACAAGTTGAATTTCATCCAAGAAATCTCGGAGGTTCTCCTTCAGTATGAAATTCCCCTCGAGGGCAACTTCCCTTGTAGCGAGAGTGCTACCAAGTTGAAGAACCTCGTTCTGAACGACTTGGCCAATGACAAAAAGAACGGAAACATCCCCAGCAACACCATCAACATGTACGAGCTCCTGAAAGGCAACGAAACCATTGCCCGCCTCCAGGCGCTGGCCAAAAGGACAGGGGTTGCAATGGATAAGATGAGCATTACCGCTCCTCTGGTAGAAAAAGAGAGAGACGTTAAGCTCCAGTGTGAAGATGGGGAGCTGAGGGACTACAAACTGAACGTGCAGCTTCGGGAGGTCTTTGCCAACCGCTTCACACAGATGTTTGCCGATTATGAAGCTTTCGTCATTCAAGCTGCACAGGATAGAGAATCATGGCTGACAAATAGGGAACAGATGCAAAATTTTGACAAGGTAAAAGGAACCATATTATTTCCCTTCTAAGCTATGTCAATGGCTTCCTATTTTAAAGGCTCGTAGCTCAGGGACAGGTCATGAGTGCTGCATGTATCTTGTAAGGGCAAGTTCTCAGCTCTCCTGGCATATCCAAGTAATAGGTATGGCAGAAATTGTGGACCGAAATGTTCGCCTAAACCAGGAGTGAACAACTTGGGAAGGCAGGAGGTGGCATTAGCCCATCAGGAGAACTTTAGAAGGTCGTACTCTCTATAAACAATCAATTACTCCCAGGCAGACCGAAAAATGCTGTAAGAGGTATGGGGTATTTGTGTCAATTTTTGGAGTGTCCCCTGGCCTATTTTAATCCCGGAAGAAGCCTTTTCAAAACAGTACAAAGCTGGAAGACACTTTCTAATTGTATCCTGTTTCTGAAAAGGTTTACCATATATACTCGAGTATAAGTCGGCCTGAATATAAGCCAAGACATCGAATGTTACCACAAAAAAACTGGGAAAATGCATTGACTTGAGTACAAGCCAAGGGTGGGAAATGCCGCTGCTACTGGTAAATTCCAAAAATAAAAATAGATACCAATAAAATTACATTGAGGCACCAATAGGTAAAATCTTTTTGAATATTTACACAGAATTGTAATTTAAGATAAGACTCTCCAACTCTGATTACACCATTATTCTAAGCTTCTTCAATGTAAATGTGCTTACGTATCCTTCCAATAATAATAGAGTAAAATAATAAATGTAATATAATAATAATACTAGTAAAATAATGGAAATGTAATAATAATAGTAATAATAGAGTAAAATAATAAATGTAGTAATAATAAATTGAGTAAAATAAATGTAATAATAATAGAGGAAAATAATGTAAATGTAATAATAGTAGTAGTAGTAGTTAAAAAATAAATGTAATAATAATAATAATAATAATAATAATAATAATAGATCAAAATAATAGATAACTTTGACTTGAATATAAGCCAAGGGGTTTTTTCAGCCTCAAAAAAGGGCTGAAAAACTTGGCTTATACTTGAGTATATACGGTGTTTTTTTCACTTCATGTTTCACCAAAAGGCATGGAAATGCCCCTATTAAGATCACTTGAGGGGGAACATATTTTTCGATCTGGAGGGGAATGGCTCACTTATGGTCCACAAAGTTGCTCTTTGCTCATCCTTTAATAGGAAGGAAGAAATTAATTTGCTTTGCATTTTAGTAGTTTTGAATCAGTACATATACAATTATAAAAACAACCCCTGTCAATACGTATAGCATAAAATCAAAATAATACAATTTTTAAAACAACAGTAGATAAAACTAGCTGCCATTGATTCACAAAGTGTCAAGTGTCAACTTCAGCCTACTCGAGGTCAAAAACCTGCTTGAACATCTATGTTTTCAGGTAGGAATGGAAGGATTGAAGGGTGGGGGCTAATCTAATCTCTTTTGGGAGGATATTCCAGAGAATGGGAGGGGAGCACCACTGAGAAGGCCCTCTCTCTCTCGTCCCCACCAACCGCGCTTGAGATGGTGGTGGGACCGAGAGAACAGATCCCCTGTTGATCTCAGAGCCCTCGCCAGTTTGTAGAAAGAGATGTGGTCTCAAAGATAGGTTGGACTCGAAGCATATAGGACTTTATAGGATAGAATTGCGTAGTGTGAAAAGGACCCTTCTGAAAATATCCATAGGACAGAATTGGCCAGTTAATCAAATTGCTGCAGGAGCCTCTGGTGGCACAATAGGTTAAACTCTTGTGCCAGCAGGACTGAAGACCGACAGGTTGGAGGTCCAGCTCCCCATGCGGGGACATGAGAGAAGCCTCCCACAAGGATGGTAAAACATCAAAAACATCCAGGCGTCCCCTGGACAACATCCTTGCGGATGGTCAATTGTCTCACACCAGAAGCTACTTGCAGTTTCTCAAGTTGCTTCTGGCATGAAAAAAAATCAAATTGCTCAAAAGTATGCTATGTTGTGTGAAGTTAACAGTGTTGTTTTCAAGTTGTCTCATTCTTCCCTTCTTCTCTAGGCTTCATTTCTGTCTGATCAGCCTGAACCTTACCTTCCATTCCTCTCACATTTCATTGAAACCCAAATGTTTGCAACATTCATCGACAATAAAATTATGTCCCAGTGGGAAGAAAAAGATCCTTTTCTCAGAGTGTTTGACTCAAGGATAGAGAAGATCAGAATGTATAATGTCAGGGCGCCTGCATTAAGAACATCGACATATCAGAAGTGCAGCACCTTGAAAGAAGCAGGTATGGACAGACAAATGAGCTTTCAGTATATCCTGCCTTTGATTTCATGACAGAAGCAACTGTTAATCTATATAAATAAAAATGTAATGTTCGTTTGTGGGATTAACATAACTCAAAAACCACTGGGTGAATTGACACCAAATTTGGACACAAGACACTTACCATGCCAACGAGTGACCATCACCCCTAAAAACACACAAAAAACCCCCAGCAGAACTGACTTTAAACCCCCCCAAAATGAACCATATATACTTATACACATACATTCATATACACATGCATGCACACATACATACAGACACAAACAAACATATATATACTCAAACACACACAAATATACACATATACACACCTACATATGCACCTACACACATATATACATACACACCCATATGCATATGCACAAGCACACACATATGCACAATATACATATACACATATAAACACAGAAATATACATAGAGACATGCACACATATATACACACATATATATGTATGCAGGCAGACACAAATATACACATACAGTATAAACACACATACATATACACCTACATACATATACATATACATACACACATATATGCATACACACACACATACACAATATACATATACACATATAAACACAGAAATACACAAATAGATACACACATATATACACACACATATATACACATATACACAAATATATACACACACAAAACACATATACACAGACTGGGCCACAGCAACATGTGTCAGGGGACGGCTAGTACAATATAAAAATGAAATATAAGATAACCAAACTATTTTAAAATATTCTGAGATTGCACTAATATAATTGTTCACAAAGCCAGCAATGCATTCAGCATTAAAAATCTAACTTGGCAGGTCAGTTCATTCTTTCAAAACACAATAGTTGAAGTGATCTCATTGGATAAAATTTTATAAACTTTATGAACTTTCTTCCAATGTATCAAAGATATGTTCCAAGATATGTTAAACATTCTGTGAAATGACACAAGAATTCTCCAAATGGACCTGCTCTAAAGATAGTTCCTCACTGCAATAGAGAGATCCCTAGACTCAAGTAATGTTGTGTTTCAATTACTATTCCCAGCTCAAGCTATTGAACACCGTCTGTCAAAGATAGATCACACTGCAATTCATCCGCACCTGCTTGATATGAAGATAGGTCAAGGCAAATATGAGCAAGGTTTCTTCCCCAAGCTTCAATCAGATGTGTTGGCAGCTGGACCTACCAATAACAAGTAAGTTTACACAAATGTATCCTTAGAACAGGTACATCATGTCTTTATATAGTAAGGTAGAGGTTTCCCCTTGACATTAAGTCTAGTCGTGTCTGACTCTGGGGAGGTGGTGCTCATCTCCATTTCTAAGCTGAAGAGCGGCGTTGTCCGTAGATACCTCTAAGGTCATGTGGCCAGCATGACTGCATGGAACACCACTACCTTCCCACCCGAGCGCTATCTATTGATCTACTCACATTTGCATGTTTTCGTACTGTTAAATTGGCAGAAGCTGGGGCTAACAGTGGGAGCTCACCCTGCTCCCAGATTCAAACCGCCGACCTTTCGGTCAGCAAGTTCAGCAATGTAGTATTATTAATTGCCGTCCCTTACAGTGACCCTATGAATGGGAGACTGTTGACCTTGTTATTAACAGCTCTTCCAAGGTCTTACGCATGGCTTCCTAGATTGAGTCTATCTACTTCTACCCCTTTTCTTACTGCCTTTTCAAGCGAGGGATTTTATGTCATGATATGCCTGAAGCCTAATGGTCTTTGTTTAGATTAGACTTTTTTTTTCCACGGTAAAACTCATATCTTTCGCTATTTCAGAATAGCAAGTCTAAGCTTCTTGTGATGTCATACCTTCCTTTTGCCTGCTTTGGTCTAATGTTCCTTCTGTGGGGCTGTCCTGAAGATGAATGATGTGTTCATTTTCTGTAACTTTTTCAGGCTTGTAGTCCCACCAGTTCTTTGTCACAGGAAAATGGTATTTGTGGCACAAGTTCCAATGAATCATCTGTTGTTGTTGTTGTTGTTGTTGTTGTTGTTGTTGTTAAATAGCTAAATTTGCTGATCTGAAGCACCAAATCCGGAAGGCCTACCGTAGACTATTAAACTGTGCAGCAATGCAATTACTGGATAGTTTAAAGTGAATTGTTTATATCTGTTCTTTATTCGTCTTGGGTTCTCAAAGCCACAGGTGTGTTAAAATCATAATCAAAAAGATTACAGACTGATAGTTATCACAAAAACTTCAATTACTTTTCCTGCAATAGGCTTGCTCCGATTAAATTCTACCGACAGTGGAATTTTCATGTTGTCTTTGTAACATTTCAGTTAACCTCTTTGCAGTCTGAAGCAAAGCGCCGCAACAGACTGCCTGACACCATTCTGTCTAAAGACATAATACACTGTGCTTTCACTCTTTGCTGGATTTCCCACTGTTAGACTAAGAAAGGAAGAAAACACGACCACATTATCAGTCTGCTTTTCTTAATGGCCAAGGTCTGACTGGGACCAGACCTTGGCCATTAAACTGAAAAACAACATACTTTGAGGCAAATTTTCTACTTGCTCCCTTTCTCCCATCTTCCTCACTGAAATAACAGATTACATCTTCATGATGTGAGAGCATGACCACATTACTACATTACCAAGGATCTGTGTACAGGAGGTGTACCAACTCAAATGCCAATGATATTCCAAAATAACATAAACAGACCTACTTAGATAGTTCAACTTTCCTTTCCAATGAAATTTATTAGTTGCCATCGCTGCAGGGATACTCCAAGGGTGGCAAACTTCCTTTTAACTCACCATGGGAAGCTCATGTAATTTTTTAATAGCAGGGGCAAGGGATCTTTGGACCTCGAGATATGTTGGCCAACAATTTGGCCTACAATTTGATAGTCTTAACTACAAATATGAAATACTCAATTACACAATTTAAATGCAGGGGACAAATTGCCAGAGCTATAATAAAGGAATTGTCAGTGCTATAATATCTACACAAAACAAGCATTTGCACAGTTAAAGCTTGTGTGCCAGCTGCACCCATACCTTGGGAAGTCTGACTTGGCCACGGCAGTCCAGGTTCTGGTTACATCCTGTATAGACTACTGCAATGCACTCTACATGGGGTTGCCTTTGAAGACTGTCCGGAAGCTTCAACTGGTCCAACGGATGGCAGCCAGGTTGCTAACAGGAGTGGCTTTCAGGAAGCATATAACCCCCCTGGTGCGCCAGCTCCACTGGCTGCTGGTTTGCTACTGGGCCCAATTCAAAGTGCTGGCTTTGGCCAATAAAGCCCTAAACCAGTGGTTCTCAACCTGGGGTTCCCAGATGTTTTTAGCCTACATCTCCCAGAAATCCCAGCCAGTTTACCAGCTGTTAGGATTTCTGGGAGTTGAAGGCTAAAAACATCTGGGGACCCCAGGTTGAGAACCACTACCCTAAACAGTTCTGGCCCAACTTACCTGTCTGAACACATCTCCTCTTATGAACCATCGAGGACTTTAAGATCGTCTGGGGAGGCCCTGCTCTCAGTCCCACCTTTGTCACAAGTATTTATTTACTACATTTGTATACCGCTCATCTCAGCACAGGGGCGACTTGGAGCGGGGACGAGAGACAGGGCCTTCTCAGTGGTAGCCCCTTGGCTATGGAACACCCTCCCTAGGGATACCAGCTTCTTCCCTTTTGATATTTCGAAAAAAACTCGAAGACATGACTTTTCGAGCAAGCGTTTTCAAATACAGAATAGCTGACATAAGAAAATGGAACAACTATACGATGGGACTGGACAATGTTTTTTAATAAGGATTCACTAATGACTGCTGTTGTTGTGATTTTACTTATGTCAATGTTTTTTAAATTGTACTTATACTTTTGTGGCATTGAATTTTGCCTTGGAAATCGCCTCAAGTCGCCTGAGGGCTGAGAGGGGCAATATATAAATACAGTAAATAAATAAATATACACATTAGCTGAAGCCAAGTGTTTAGGACTGTGTGATGTAATAGCAATTAATGTGTGCAGATGCCAGTAGGGTGGCCTTTTGCAGCTGACTGATGGTAATTTTGTCAGCGCCGATTGTGTTTAAGTGCAGGCCAAGGTCTTTAGGCACTGCACCCAGTGTGCCGATCACAACTGGGACCACCTTTATTGGCTTGTGCCAGAGTCTTTGCAGTTCCATCTTTAAATCCTTGCATCATGTCAGCTTTTCCAGTTGTTTCTCTTCAATCCTGTTGTCACCTGGAATTGCAACATCGACGATCCATACATGGTTTTTTAATACGATTGTGAGGTCAGGAATATTGTGCTTCAAAACCCTTGTCAGTATGAATTCAGAAGTCCCGGAGGAGTTTGATGTGTTCATTTTCTGAACTTTTTCAGGCTTGTGGTCCCACCAGTTCTTTGTCACAGGAAAATGGTATTTGTGGCACAAGTTCCAATGAATCATCTGTTGTTGTTGTTGTTGTTGTTGTTGTTGTTATTGAATTGTGCTCAGAAGCTAATCGGCAGCCAACATTAGAATCTAATATCAATAAATTAAACAAAATATAATCAACGACATTGTATAAAGACATAAAACCTAAACAATAAAAACATCTACATTAATTTACAGGAGCCAATCAAAATTCACAAATTCATGTGGGTTGAATTGTGAGACCAGTGGCAACAACTGGGCCAACATGGACTAATAGAGCCCGAATACAACCATTGTTCTTGACCAGAGGTCCGGTAGTGATCTCTCATTGTCTAATCCTCCTCCTCTCCATATGCTAATGAGCAAAGTTGTTCTTTGAATGAGAGGAGGGAGGGGGCCATCAGTATTTCTTTAGGGAGGGAGTTCCAGAGGTGGGGGGCAATCACAGAGAAGGCCCTCTCTTTTTCATTCCCACCAACCTCACGTGAGATGGGGGTGGGACTGAGAGCAGGGCATCCATGGATCATCATGCACCCTATTATTAAATTAAACATATTAAAAAGATATGTTGAAATGTACACATTGATATCACTCCCATTTGATAGTATGGACTGTGAGAATACTTGTTTTTTCGCACTCACATGAACTCCTGGAACTAAACACTCGTGGGTACAGCCGCCCCACTGTAATCCTGTGATTGTTTATTCAGGAGTAGGTTGGAATAATTTCAGTGTCAGAATCAATGTACTATAGACTTATTTCCTGGTAAGCATTTGTGTTAGACACAAATAAAAAAGAATTTATTATGACTAGCAAAAATTTGTAAGAGACAGTAAAACAAAAACAAGGCAATAAAAGCAAAATGTTTGAATGGTTGCAACTTTGGGGCTACAGTGGAAAGCTGTCCTCTTATTCCCCCAGATAAAAAGATTTGCAGTTAACACCAAAATTTGGCCATTTTCTCCCTTTTTTATTGTAATTACCAGACGTCCATCATGTTGTCTGGGGGCTTTGGGGAGTTGTATTCCAAAATAACTTTTCCACGTTCTGAGTAGGTCATAGACTTTGCTCTTTACAGCCTACGTTTGCATAAATGAAAGAAGAAGTGGATATGCTGGAAGAGGTTCTTGCTTTTCTTAATCTTAAAAGAATCCGTTTGGGCAATGTTCCCTGATTAGGCTTTGATAGTTTTGATTAGCTCTCCCAGAAGGGGAAAACTCGGTTCATCCCTCCAGACATCTGTAACCAGTTCAAAGCACCAGCACTTGTAACATTCATGAAGAACATTAAACTTTTCCAAGGTACTGACTTGAGCTTTGGGGAACAGAATTAAATATAGAAGCTCTTCCAGAACGCCTGAGGGAAATCTCAAAGCTCATGTGGCCCAGCCGGCACAAGAGCTAAACCTGGAGTTGTGATCTTAGTTGCTCCCTTGGAGCAAAGATTCAGAACAAAACTTTTTCTAGATGGTTGGCCTTTCAAACTCTGGATCATTTAATTTGGGTAATATGCATGTAGGAGACAGAGGAAGTCCTCCACTAAGAACCAAGCCCATTTGATAGTAATTTGATGCAGTGGGTTAAATTGCTGAGCTGCTGAATTTTGCTGACCGAAAGGACGGTAGTTCAAATCCGGGAGCAGAGTGAGCTCTTGCTGTTAGCCCCAGTTTCTGCCAACCTAGCAGTTTGAAAACATACAAATGTGAGTAGATCAATAGGTACCGCTCCGGCGGGAAGGTAATGGTGCTCCATGCAGTCATGCTGGCTACATGACCTTGGAGGTGTCTACAGACAATGCTGGCTCTTCGACTT